TGTGTGTGTGTGTGTGTATGTGTATGTATGTGTGTGTGTTTCTTGTTCTTAGTGCTATTACTGCAGCTATTAACTGATCTTCTGTTTATGTCCAGGTTGGACCTCAGCGGGCTGATTACTTTTACTTTTCCATTACTCGAACATTCCTGTTCGCTTGTTGAACGGGCAGCATGTTTCTGTAGCAGATAAATCGAATCAGTCGGCTGAGCGATATTACATTTCGGTAAAAATGATATGTTTTTCTTTACTTTTCCAACCTGTTGCCCACTGTTACAGTGTAATTGACCAGTGATTTGTTCACACTTCAGTTTGCCCATAATTACTAACTGATAAACCTCGTGAAGCATCTCACATGGCTGCATCTAATGTTTATGCTTACTGCTATGCCAGAGTCTTGGTAACGAAACGGTAAGGGAAAGGGGACTTTTACATTAACCCTCTCTGAAACTATGTAGTACAATAGCTTAGTGAGATGTTGAACAACATCGGTGATATAAATCCAGCGGGTTTCTTTGTAAAACTAATTCCTCGTTCCCTCTCCTCGATTTATGCAGGACCTGTCGATTTCCTTTCCTTGACCTGTTTCTTGTTACATCCTAGTGCTTGTTGTGTTTAAAGTCTTCTCCCTCGTCTTTCCGTCCCAGTTCTTTTGTTACTGCACAGCTTCTGGACACGAACTACGAGAAGATGAAGCCCTAGGCTATCAAGAAATAAGTTTTAAGGCGTACCAATAAATTTAAGCTTCCTACCATCGCTGATTCCCGAATTGAAAACCGTCGGATAAAACGCATTCTGAACACACATACAAACAGGGTTTCGGCAATATACGTTTTGTGTAAACTGCTACAGCAAAAAACACACACAAACGGAATAAATAGCTGCGCACATCAGGGTAGCCGGTGTGATTATGCGTTTTACGCAATTTCGACCAGCGGACGTTTGCGTCCGAAGGGTTTTCACTGTTTTACACTTTGGCCTGTGAAAAAATAACCCATACGTTGTTTGGTTCCTAAGCTGCAGGATTTACTATTAAAACCAGTACGTGCAACGCAAATGTACATGGAAGCCGAATTTGAAACATTGAGCAGTGAACAGTGTTCCAAAATTTCAACTTCCTAGTTCTCTGGTTTCAGAGTACTTCGCACCAAAAATTTTACGTGTTCGTACGTGAGACCTCGCCATACTTCAGAGCTAAGTTTGAGTTTATTAGGCCCGTGCATAAGCAGAAAACCTCTTCCTTGAGCTTTTAGCCTATCAGCTCTTTTCACTCCCAAGACAATAATTTCTTCCGCCAAGGATTCCACGGAGCTGTGCGCGGTACCCAGGAAGAGGAGGAGGCTGAAGTTTAAATTTATGGTGTCGCACACACCCAGGGGTTGTTACCCAAAAATTACAACCTAGTTTTCGTGATCCTCATAATAGAAATCTTCCCCACCAAAAATTTGACGGAGTTGCATGTGATACCCGAAGGCAAGTGAGGGCGGAATTTAAGCTTGGGTGGTCCTACGTTGGCGGAGAACATTCCGCCACATTTTCAGCTTCCTAGCTTTTCTGCTTTCCAAGTTGAAATTACCGGATAAAATGTACTCGGAACACGGATACAGACAGACACACACGCACACATACACACATACACACACACACACACACACGCATTGGTAAGATCTTGACAACACGTGTTCTTTGCAACTGTTGCAGCACAAAACGCATAAAAACGGGTGTAGTTGGACCGATATGGGAATGCGGTGAACGGAGTATAAGCCGCCGAAGAGGGTCGGTTTTATTGGTGAAGCTGTACATCAGTGATTCTCTGTAATTCCAAAATACTTGCAGTCAGGTCGTCGTCGTCATTATCGTCACCAGTATCACCACAAGGACTCATAACCAGCACCAAGGTCTTTAAATATCCTGGCAGCAGCAGTTGAGCATTGCTTGACAAAGAAGTTTCTGCTGCAAAATGGTGTGTAATTTATGTTGAGATGTGGTGTCTGTTGAAAAGTGGTTTCTGTTGTAACGTGGTGTCTGCTGCAAAATGATGTGTGTTGCAAAGTGGTGTCTGTTGCAAAGTGGTCCCTGTTGCAAAGTGGCTTCTGCTGCAAAGTGGTGTGTGTTGCAAAGTGGTTTCCGTTGCAGCGTGGTCTCTGTTGCGAAGTGATTTCTGTTGCAAGGTGATTTCTGCTGCAAACGGGTTTCCGTTACAAAGTGGTGTGCGTCGAAAAGTGGTTTCTGTTGCAAAGTGATCTATGTTGCAATGCGGTGTCTGTTGCAAAGTGATTTATGTTGCAAAGTGGCGTGTGCTGCAAAGTGGTTTCTGTCGCAAAGTGGTGTCTGATGCAAAGTGGTTTCTGTAGCAGAGTGGTTTCTGTTGCAAAGTGACCTATGTTACAATGTGGTGCCTGTTGCAAAGTGGTGTCTGCTGCAGGC